ATATTGGTAGAGCTCGTAGCATATTTGCCTTGTACAAAGTAGGTGCTTAATAAATGCTCATTCTCTTCCCTTTCCATTCCCATCACTCTTGTTGGCATTTAAACCCCTTCACGGTTTGGCTCCAACCTATCTTTCAAGACTGATCTTTTATCACACTATTTACATCTCAGCCAACTGTCCTACTTGCTGGTCCCTGAACAGTGTGTTCAGCTCCCGTATGTGTTCCTTTGTATCAGCAGTCCTCTGTATGTGAAACGTTTTCCCTCTTCTATGAATCCCTCGTTCCCTTTGAAGTATCCCTGCCCCAGTTGTTAGTGCCCTCTCCCCATTTCTGAAATGTATATTTTTGTGATCTCTCTGTGCATGTGTTGTTTTCCCCAACTAGAATGTTAAAGGCCCAAAGAGCATGACCTGTTTCATTTTTGTCATTTGTATCCCCAACACCTGGCACAGTGGCTTACATGGACCTTGGTTTCCTCAGAATGTTTGCCTAATAGATGCTCAAATGAACATGGTGGGTGGTACTAAAGGTCAGTGGAGTTGAGGAGGGTGCAGAACCACGGGGTTAGATGGCTTGTCAACATGGATGCTAAATTTGCTGAGGACAACAGGTTTCTAAAGTTTTTGTTTTTCTCTTTTTTACTATATAAATACTGTATATAGTTGCCAAGCAGATGCTCTACTATCAGGACTGAATTGGTGACCCACATTTTTCTTGGAGTTGGAGCAGGAGTAGTGATGGTGGGATGCTGTGCTCCTCCTCTGCTTTGCCCCTGATAATCTCAAACCAAACATTACCCATTCATCAGGGTTCTGTTCCCTGGCACTTGGGAACTACCTCAACTCCCTCAACAGAGGTAGTTGTACACCCTAAACACAGAACCAAACATGATACTTTCAGCCAAATCCCATCTGCTATGTTTGAGGGGATAATTAAAGGTGAATACTGGATTTTTTTTGGTTACAGTTCCAAAAGGAGCTAATGACTCTAGTGGTGATGATTACTGGCAGGATATTGGTATTCCTATAGTGTGGTGTTCAGCATCCATCTTTAATACAAGGTGGTGAGCCATTTTCCTTCAACCATTTCCTGAACTGTTAAATATTTAAGGGACACCAAGATGCACAAAAAGTAGCCCAAACTATATTTTCCTCCACTTTGATTCTATCGTATTTTTATAGCAAAAGGATTTCCATGATCTTTTTTTTTAAATTTTTGTGGTTTGTTGCTGATGTTTGTTGACAACTTTCCATCTTATCTTTCGTATTGGTTCTTAGTATGTTAATTGACCTTTCTTATGCTTTAAAGAGGAAAAATTGGCAGCACAGGCTTGTATTCATTCTGTGACTTCTAAAATGGGGCAAACAGGTCAGTTTCCTTTTCAGTTTGATTACAACGATTATATATTTTAAATATGCATAATAATTTACAGACAGTAGCCATATACCCTGCATTTTATCTTTAGCTGACCCCTGAAATTTTCTTCTTCACAGGTGAAGTCAGTGATAAACCTCTTGTTTGCAGCATATACTGGAGATGTGTCAGCCCTCCGAAGGTCAGTTAAAAGGGGGGGAGAAGCTAGCTAGAGAAAGTCTGGTTGACACACATATTGCTTAATTCTTAATAAGTGGTCATTTTAAGGAAAACCAGAGGTCACTTCTGAATTTTTCAACTTGGATGGAAAGGCCCCAGGAAGAATTTCAAAGGGGTCAAAGCTTATGTTAAGCATCCTCTTCCAATGTCCCAGTTAAAACTGCTGCCCCTAGATGACATTCAGTTGTACTCTTCGGTTTTTCCCATCTCTTTTGATCTGTAAAAAGTTACGTAGCTTATCTTTTACCTTCTGGGGACCTGATCTTTGTTTACTGAGGCTAATTTAATAAACTGTATTTATGGGCCCCCAAACGTGAGGGGGGTCCCCATCCTCATTTCCTCCCCCAACTCATGTTTTAACAATGACCTTCTGGAGACAGATGTTTCTCGGGACCCTTGTTGTCCAAAAGGATTGGTTCTTATACTTAAACAGTGGCAGAAAAGTAGGCAAAGTGTTTTTATACAAGAAGAGCCTTTTGGTACCCCTAAAGTGCTGCATAGGCAGCCGAGTGCTCCAGCTTTATGTACCTTTTAAAGCCTATCATTAATAGAGATGAAAAGCTGGAAGGGAACCTTTAAGGCCATCTGATTTAACCCCCTTAGGTGAAATCATTTGTCCCCAATCACATAGGTGGTAAAATATCAGTGTCTGGGTGAACTATCGCCATCATCTATCTAGGCCTTTGAAATGGAAGGATCCTAGTATTTCATTTCCACTGATGTGTCTGAAATCTCTCATTCTCTGTTTAGATTGCAGATTTTAAAATGTAGAGGAAGCAGGGCTTTTATTTGTCTTTTTGAATGTGGGGGATTTTTTTGGTGTTGGTTTCTTGTCCTCCAGAGACTTGAAGGTGCCTGTTGTGCTTCCATTCTTCAGATCTCTGAGTACTTAATCATAATGAAGTGTAATTGTCTTGTGAGGTGCTCAGTGTTTATACCCCTATGCCAGTCAAGCAAGCTAACAGAGAGAAGCAAGGTAATTCCCCCTATATGCATGTGAACTAGTTGTCCAGTATCTTGGTTTCCACGAACTTCGTTATAGAAGGCATCTGCCCAATTTAGCTAGCCAGTAGAATTAAAGAGAAAAGTTTGACTGAGAGATTTTTAAGGTGATTTGTAGGTAGGGCAGCAAGCACTTGATGTACTAGATTACCTTTGTAAATGTCACGAGTGTATTAACTTTAGAGTATACTTAATGAGTGATTATGCTTGTGAATTTTCAGATTTGCTTTGTCAGCTATGGATATGGAGCAGCGGGACTATGATTCTCGAACTGCATTACATGTTGCAGCTGCAGAAGGTAACAGCCACTAAGCCCTTCATTTATTCATCTTCACGTTAGCTTTCTGGTATATACTAAGGCCTGACTGTTTTTGTTTTGGGGTTACAGGTCACGTGGAAGTAGTTAAATTTTTGTTGGAAGCCTGCAAAGTGAATCCTTTCCCCAAGGACAGGTGAGCGGTTGTTTCAGCCTCTCCCTTATAAATATGGAGTTTTCTACTGGTTCCTTTCCTTATACTGGTGGTGGCTTATCACCCCTTGTTAGGTGGTGGTGCTTTTTAAATGAACACTCATACCTGAAACCATGACGTTATTTTCCAGCTGGTCTCATAGTCGACAGGTTCCTTGTTTCTGATGTGTAATGTCTACTTGCAATCTTTCTTTGCTCCCCTTTCCCTCCATTACGCCCAAGACCCAAAATCTTATCTAGGGAGACTACATAGATATTTGGATTTTTCAGGCTGCTTAGCCAGTCAGTATTTAGCATCCTCTTTGTGTAGACACTATAGTGAGTGTTGTGGGAACAGAAGACTGGTTCCTTGACTTCAAGGACCTTACAAACCTAATGAAGGAAAAAAGATAAATATGTGAACACTTATATAAATGCACTTAGAAGAGATGCATATGAGCAAATGCACAAATAATTAATGGTACAGAACTATATAAACGAGTACTAAGGGCTCTTGGAAGTCTTGAAGCTGGAAAAGCCATTATGGAAGCGTTGAGTTTTGATCAAAGTTGAGTTTGGAATAAGTATGATTTGGAGCAAGAGAAAAAAGAAGGCATTCTAGGCAAGAGAAATGATTTATATGGAAGAGAGGCAAGAAAGAATAAACAGAATTTGTTGGACCAGAATAAAGGCTATGAGCCACTCGGTAATAAGTAAGATGGCAGCCTTAAGTGGTGAAGTGGTTTTCCAAAAGTTCCATAGCTAGTTAATCACAAAACTGAGTTTCTTGTCCCTTCTGGCCAGGGCTTCCTCCAAAATGCTGCACTGCTTGAGTGCTAGTTAATCCATGTAAAACTGTGCTGTGTACTTTCATCCATGGTATGGTACCTTTAACAGTCACTTGGGCATTTTAACACTTGAGTCTGTGTGAACACACCAAAGATGGATAATGGAACTCTGCTCTTAGAAGGAAGTAGCTTCATTAACAGCCACGGACTGGGCCAAGGTTTAGGGGCATCTTTAATTTAGTGTACTCCTAAACCTTTCCCATTCTGGAGGATTCCCTAGCAGCCGAGATGACCACAGATCTCACCCAGTTTTCCGGATCTGTTCCAATTTTGACCCAAGCACCAAAAGCTGGGTGTGGGAATGTAAAGCTAGAATGTCACTTAATATTAGTATTCAGGGTTTAGCTAGTATTTATTCACTGTGTTACATTTGTATGATACCTTAAGGTTTACAAAGCACTTTCCTCACAATCGCCTTGTGAGGTAGGTACTGCTACTAATATTATTACCATTTTATAGATGAGGAAACTGAATCTTAAAGACCTTGAATGACTTGCCCAAAATCACAGAGCCAATTAGTGTCAGTGGTAGTATTTGAACCCAGGGCTTTAGATATTCTTTCAAATATACCATTTTGGCATCTAGATACTTTTCAGAAATAAATAGGTTTTCAAGATGTAGAAAGGGGTAGCATTCATCCCAAAGAGAGAGAAAATGTAAACATAGAAACAGAAGTGGGAGAAAGGCTCAGGTGATTTTCAAGGGTTAGCAAGCGCTATGTATTATTGGCTGTTATCATCATCATCATCATCATCACTCTATACTCAACTTATTTGAGCGGCCTCACCATTTAGCACCATTCTTTAAGATGCAAATTATCTGGTTAGGAACAAAGTTATCTTTGCTCCTAAGTCTTGAACTTCTTTTTTTTTTTTTTTTTTTTTTGGTGAGGTAATTGAGGTTAAGTGACTTGCCCAGAGTCACACAGCTAGTGAGCGTTATGTGTCTGAGGCCGGATTTGAATTCAGGTCCTCCTGACTCCAGGGCCAGTGCCCTCTCCACTGCACCACCTAGCTGCCCTCCTGAGACTTTAATTTTATCCTTTAAAATAAAAATTAAAAAACCCTTCAGAATCTCTGAATGGGAATAGCAGATCACTGAAGAGAATGGAAGGTACAGTAACTTGCTAGTGTGAAGTGGTGGATGGAGGAAATGAGACTGATAGTCAGTGACTGGAGCTTCCACCCCTTTGTTAGGAGATTAAAATTTGAGTCCTATAGTTAACATTATTACCTAGCTCTACTGGTGTAGCCCAGTTGTAGGTCAAGGGTCTTTGAGTGGAACCCAAGTACACTTAAGGGCTTTGTTCATGGATATCTATAAACCTATAGATTTACATATATGTACACTATATAGAGCTATGTAGATATATACCTGCTATCTATACACATGTGTATATATCACTACATATATATTTGTATATATGACAAGTCTACATAAACTATGTCAATCATCTTTAAACATTCCCTTCAAAGAGAAATAATTGAAAAAGATGCGTTGGCTTTTTCATTAAACTTTTTGGACTGTTAAAAGTCTTCATTAGACCATCTCTTTATAGCAACATTGTGTTTATAAATTCTGCTTTTCAGAGTGACTTGGAAAGGTAAATTAATTGCAGAATAAAAATTCATTTTCAGGCATCACCTTTTGAACTTAAAAGACCTTTTCTGAATTTCTCCTGTTTTCATCTACAAAAGTCACTAAAAGAAATTAAATACAGAGCATATGGTTATCCAAAGTGTAATAATCAAGTCAGAAGATTTGGGTTCAGGACCCAGTTCCAATACCTGATGGGCAAGCCTCTTCATTCTTTGACCTCAGTTATCTATCTTATAGAAGAAGGTGGGGAAAAGCATACATATACTGTCTACCTCATAGGATTATGGAGAGGAAAAGGCTTTGTACCTTTGGGTATTAGATGACTTGTCTACAAAGCATATGACTGACAAGAGTTTTCATTCACTAAGCATTCCAATCTCAGACATGCTATTTGTTGCAGGTGGAATAACACCCCCATGGATGAAGCCCTGCACTTTGGACACCATGATGTGTTTAAAATCCTTCAGGAATACCAAGTCCAGTACACACCTCCAGGGGATTCCAATGATGGCAAAGAAAATCAAACAGTCCATAAGAATCTAGATGGATTGTTATAATGGGGTCTCAAGCTTGATCCTAAGAATCAAATCACTTAGCTATTTAATTGTGAAAAATGATTATGAAGAGCGTGTGTACTTCCCTGGTAGTGATGTATATTTTACAGAGTCTGTCTGTTATCTCAGTGTTACTGGAGTTTTTTCTTCATTGTATGCAGAGGACAAATCTGATCTCTCTGGGAAAAAAAAAAAAGAAAAAATAGAAACAAAGCAGGAGCTCCCTTCATAATGTGAGCGATATTACCTCGTGCTGTGGATAATTTGATGTAAAAAACAAAAATCACCATTGCTTGCTTTACTGTGGTCTTTACAATTTCTTTCTGTGTTGTGTGCATTTGTGATAATTGTTCTTTCTGCTGAGTATGCATTTTTAAGCTGAAACCTTGTTTGTACAGTTGGCCCAAATGAACAAAGCTGCCTCCAGGAGCACATGGAAGTGGTTTTTTTTTTCAAGATATTAGATTTGAAATGTGGGAATAGTTTGGGTGTTTTTCAAACACTCTATGCACTTAAGGTTGTATATTTTTCTGATGTTTCCGAAACCATGCACCCTATATCTACTTTGTGATCTTAAAAGAAGATATCAATTGATGACTGTCAATAAATAGCAAAGGCTAATTTTGATTTGACTTTATCAGGGATTTTAAAGTTTGTTGGTGACCAAAAGATCTAAGTATGAATGTAACTTTGGACCCTTTCAGATTCTTTTTTCCTATCTTCCTAAGTCCAGCCTTTCTTTCTTTCTCCACATTTAGCTGTCTCTGCTTCTTCTCTTCAGTGGTGCTTCTATACTATGCAGTTTTGATCTTTGCAACATTAGTCAGGAGGGTTCTCAACCTTGGCCTTTTGCACAGTAGCTATAACTATGCCCGTTCTCTATGAAAAACAAACCAGAGACAGAATGAACCACTAAGCCAGGTCAATGCTGGTGGAACTTGATAGACAAAATAGACACAATAATGCTGCTTGAAGGGCATATTTTTCTGCTTTTCACCCAAATTAAGTTCAGAAAGCTACCAAAGTCATTTTGAGGGCATGTGATTTGCCATAAAGTGACATATTTATAATTTAAACTTGTCACCACAAATCTGAATCAAGATATTTGTTCAGTTTGGGGGACCACTAGCAAACACTCCAATTTTCTTCCCATTTGCCATTGTGTGAGATTTTTGGTGGTACTAGCATTTCCTAATGAAAGAAAAAGCAAAAACAAAAAAAAACAACAACAAAAAAAAAGGAGCTTGTGTGTCAATCAAACAAACAAACAAAAAACCCACCCCACCTCATTTCATTTTAAGGCTGACACCCATCCATCTTTGGATGGTAAATAAAAGGATCTTCCAAGATAAGAGGATAGGCTTTGGCTAGGAACTACCCTAGCATCTGAATGAATGAGTATCTTAGGGTCAGAGGAGGGAAAAATGAAATGAAGAACTTGATATTAAGTGCAAAGAATAGGCCACTTCATGGAACATGCCCTTTGAAGTTGAGTTTTAATCTAAGGGTGAAATCCCCAGCTACATAAACAGCAATCAGTAAAAACATGAGCATAGCATTTTTCGGGTTTTTTCCTCCTTTTTCTCAGCCCATTATACCTTTCAAGCTTTCTATAACCCATGTTGCTGCCCCCACCCTCTTCAGCCATCCTTTAGGGGCTCCCATTTTTTACTTCCAATCTAAAGCAGCCTAATTCAGCTGTCACCCACCCAGTCAGCTGGGTGACCAGGAGTCCTCACTGCTGCTACTCCCATAACTGGGCTGTTGAAATCTTTCTTCCTGACATACAAGCCTCTTATAGCAGTCTTAATGCTTTCCCTACCCTTAGGTCAGTGAATGGCCACATTCAGAGGTATTATTTGCACAGTGCTGTGTAGGAGATAGCCCATTGTTAGCCAGGAGAAAGTCTTATCTGCTAATTTTATGAACTTTGTGTATATTATAATGTCTTTTGGGGTTAGGGAGAAATTCACTGGTTTACATATTAAAATAACCATGAACCTGCTTTTCTCAGCAGTATGCTTTAGATTAATTAAAACTTTTCACATATGGGTTGAGCTAGATGGCAGTTGAGCTACCTTCCATTGCTCAAATTCTGTGACTTAAATTTAAAACAAGAGCTAAATTACTACAGGAAGCAAGGATCACTTCTGAAACTCAGGCTTTCCTCTAGGAAACAATGCTTCTAACTGGTGTTTGAGAACAAGAGTTAGTTCTAGTATTTTCTCCAGTGTTCAGAAGGTTTTGTCAAGCCTTCATGTTCATTTAGAGCACTGCACTGATTCCTTCTTGCCGTTACTTATAAATTTATATCTGCAAGGTTATTGTTTTGGCTGTTCATCACTGGCTGGCACTGACATGTAGATTTGGTTTCAGTGTTTGATTTTTTTCCTATTAAATTGCTGCCATCTCTATACTCCAAAGACCCTTTTTTGTTTGTTTTCAGTATCTTGTGTTTCTGTATCATGACAGTTAGGTATGTTCATGCTAGTTTAATCCTTTGTATCCCAGATGTGCTAGTCTTAGTGTTACTTATATCATCCTTGTGTGAAAAGTGTGTTGTCCTCCACCGTAACCCTTTAGCTTCAGAGCTGGACTATTAATGACTATTTGATACGACCATCAGTGACTGGGACTGAGCGGCTCGATGTTTGATTTAGATTCTTTGTGGGGAATATGCTGTGACGAATGTATTTGCTTCTAGCAGTTTTCCCATAATGGAATCTAACCTTAAAATGACTTAAGTTGTAAGTGTTCAGAAATTGGGAAATATTTATTTTACATGAAATCAAATAGTGTTGCTTTTTTCAGTATAATAAACAGGTATACAAAAAAAAAATGGTGTGGGAAAATTTTTTTTCTTCTCAAGAGAGCCATGTTTTGCCTTGTGTTCCTCCACAGCACAGTTTCAGCCTTTTACGAAACGTAACTTAAATTTCTTTGAAAGCATCATCTCAAATAGTGAAAGCCCTAGAAGGCCAGGGCATGGAGGTGAGGTTGTGGTGAAGAGGAGGTCAATCAGCTATGCCCTCATCCTTGCAAGAAATGCATGTGGAGAGGGGGGCATGGAGGTGCCTCTCGCCACAGCCAGCCAGCCAGCTCAGATTTTTAATAACCTGATTGGAACATCTTGCTCTATAACACTGGATTAGGAGTCAGAAGACCTAACTTTGAATCCTACCATTTTCTACATGTATGATCTTGGGCAAGTAATGACCTCACTGGGCCTCAGCTTGCTCATCTGCAAAATGGGGATGATAGCTGTTTCCCCAACTAATTCTATCAAATAAGATGTATATATGTATATGTACATATAGGTATATATAGGTATATATCTATATATAATATACAGGCACACAGTGTTTTGTATACTGTAAGGCATTATGTGAACACCAGCTACTATTATCATGTGGCAACGGTAGTCATTCAAAAATTAAACTAGACATTTGTCGAATTCTTTTCACTTCATAGGATTTGAGGAGTCAGCACATTTCAATATTAAGGCTGGTTTACATTTCCTGACCACCTGCCAACTGTTGTTAGAGGAAAAAAGGCCAGAAGGGCCCTAGGTGTCAGGGAGAAATCGGCCAGAAAGCAAACACTGCCACAGATAACGGATCAAATGGGTCACATGCTTTTCCTGAGAGGAGGCAGAGAAAGAGAGAATGAGTGTGTGTGTGTGTGTGTGTGTGTGTGCGCGCATTCAGGAATGGTACTTGCTGATGACCCTGGGAGTGGGAGCCAAAATGATTGTGGTACATAAGCACAGAACTGGGATTGTTGTTTTGTTTATATATAATAAGCATTTAATGAATGCTTATTGACTCTTAGGGCTGTTGTGAGATGGGCCAGGTTGGCAATGGAGTATTTGAGTGGTCTCAAATCACTGAAATGTTTTTAAAAGCATCCTTGAAGGCTGAATAAAAAGTTTTCCGGGTAGAATGTGTGTTATCCAAAGCCTTGAACAGTTTCCTATAGAGTGCTGAAAATGTAAAACACTTTATATGCTAGTCTATGAATTTCAGTGAGATTCATTAAATCTTCTATTATACTTAGGCAAAAAAAAAAGAAAAAAAGTTTCCCTACTCATAAACCAGAAGCTGACAGCTTCCTACTGTAATTAGTATGCATGAGACATATCCTTACTTGTCTGATGAACTTAAATAGAAAACTTCACAGCCCCAGTGACCTGAAATTCATGTTATTTTCAAAACAGCCCTATCACAGTTAAATTGCTGGCATGCCGCCCGCCTGCAGGAGGCTTTATGACTCAGCCTTCAGTCTAGTTTTCCCTGTTCCTACCCCTAGGCAGTCCAAGGTGAAGAGTGGGATAGTTATTTATACATTGGAGGCTGGCTTTTGGATTATTTCCTTAGGGTTTGGAGCCAAGTGGTACGTTGGGAGTCCTAATTAATACCCCTTCAGTAGAATTATACTGGAGTGATCCTTGACAAGAAGAAAATCAGGTATCCCAGTAGATCTATCAAATATGAAAGTTTTTACCCCTTGTCAGGAATATTTACTATTTTTTAAAAATTTAATGACCTTACTGGTGGCTTCTTAGAATGGCCAATTAACATATGATTCTATTAGATAATGTCTAGAGTAAAAAAAAATAATTAACCTCACGCAACATATACAACTTCCAGGGCAAAAACAATGGGATGCCCTGATCTGTCATTTACTGGGTGGGTTTGGGCAAGTCACTTCCTCTCCAGGCCTCATCAGTGTCCTCATCAATAAAATGAGGGGGCTGAACACGAAGGTCTCTGAGATCCCTACTAGATCCGAGTTAATGAACTACTACAAAGAATGAATTTGGTATATATGTGATATAAACCGTATTGGAATTCCATTACAAAAGTACTAAACTCAGGCTTTCTGCAAGCATAAATCCTGAAGGACTTACATGAATGTTCAAATAGATCAGGGAAGTAACCAATGTGGGTATTCTTTCCAGCAATGAAATGACAACTCAATCCTGCTGCCAGTTATGGGTAACTTTCATCCATGTTCTCCCATAAATTGACCACTCAAAAAGCTGCAGACATTCCCCTGGTTCTATCAGTATTATGTGGATACCAGGGGAGTCCAAGGGCTGGCTGTCCATTGCTTGTCTCTCACTCTCATCTGTGTGACTAGCCCAACTGCTTTTGCCCTCTACTCAGATGTTTTCTGATAGCATCCTTCATACTCTTCTTGCATAATACCTTATTTTTAATACATTACAGGCTGCTTCTGCATCTCCTCAACTGCTATGGTTCGTAGCCATACAACATCAAAGGGAGAATGTTAATGTTAAAAATGTCACAAAGGCAAGCTAGTCTGTTCTCCTGTTTAATTCTGAGCACAATCTATTCATTGCTCATATGCCATGTCTGTCTCAGATATGTGTACTCATGGATGAACTGTGCACATTGTCACAGTCAGGACAATAGGTGTTTTTATCAAGTTGGTTGTTTCTGTACAGATAGTGGCTAAATTCCTTTGGGTAATTGTGGATCTCATCCAGGAGGCTCCATAATATCCAAGGCTTGATGCAGTCACCACAATGTCATCTAAATAGTAACATCTAATCATGTGGCTTGAAGGAAGCTAGTGCCGCAATAGATAGAACACTGGGCCTGGAGTCTGGAA